CGGTCTGTAGGTCTGTATAATAAGACTTATAGGTCTCAGGACTAGGACCAGACCAAGACTAACTTTAACAACCCTAGGCATTATGTATAATATACAATAAATTTTATTATATAATAAAGTTATTAATTTTTATAAATTTAAAAATCTATGAATTATAATTTCTAAAACTTTAACCAAGTTAAAAGTTTCGGTTAATTTTATCAATGTATAAAAAATATATATATTATAAAATAAACAATAATTTGTTAATTTTGAATAGATAACAAAACCTTTTAAATTATAGTTTAAAATAAAAACTATTTTAACAAAGCGAAAAAAAAAAAAAAAAATGTTACATTTTTGTTACTCAAAATGAAAAATATTGAAGATCTACATGTCAAATGATTGTTATTATTTTTAATATATATGAATAATTACTTCAAGAAAAGCATAAATATTATTATGAATAAGGATAAAATATTTAGCAGAATTGATGCCCCCCAAAATAATCAAGAAGTAACTATGATTTACCCGCAAACTACTATCCTCAAAGTCACCAAGTTTAAAATTTGTTAAATAAGAGGTTCTAAGCACTTTCTTGCTCAAAACAGCGAATAGGACAGCTTAAACAAATCCTTTTCTTGGGTGATTACTCTTCACCAAAAAAAATCCTGATATAAGTGGGGACGATAGTGGTGATGAAGGTAATCGTGAAGGAGGTATTCGCGGAGGAGATGTTACCCTTTGTATTGACTATAAGCATAGGTAAGTTAAAACCCGGGTTCAAGAAATAAAAATACATGACTGTGAATTATACTTACAGGGTTAGTCCTATGACACCTTCTTGATGAAGGCCCAACATTGTAATTGACAAGTTCTCGAACACAAGATTATAAGTATGGGTTGGAGGCGATGGTGTTGGCTGAAGAATCGTTATCATCTCTTTCATTATAAAAACCACTCAAATAAAAATCTCCAAAAATCTTCAAAATTCCCCTCATTAGGGTTATCCCAAGATCAGGCTCTTCATCCATATCTCTTCTTTTTCGAGAACTATAGGAGATTGAACCGGCTGAAGATTCATTATCATCCCCTTCACTATGATCAAAATCTTTTCCAAAATCTTCAAAATTTTCCCTCGTTAGGGTTTATTCTGAGATCAGGCTCTTTATCCATATCTTTTCCTTCATACCATTTACTGGTGAGCTCAGCAAGATTAGCCCTTTCCATTTGTATCTTTTCATCAAGATCAGAAATAATTCGAAGGTAGCGCTCCTTCTCAGATTGATAATTTATTACAGCCCGCCTCTGTATATAATATAGTTTATGTAAGATGAATTAATTCACTGAAAGACCAAATTGGTTTTTTCTGGGTTCAGGAATAGAGTTGCGGGATCCTACTTATTAGTTTTAGGACACACCAATATTTGTTGGAAAAAAAAAAATTGGATATTATTTAAAATTAGTTTGCACTTACGCTTTGTTATTTCAGAAACGGTATGTGGATAAATAATTCTAAAGAATTTGCAAAGTTATTCAATTGTTTTTAAAATATAAATATTATAATCATACACTCAATTTACACTTACTGGTCACGCAACGTGCCCAGTGATAAGTAAGGACGTTGGGGAATATAAAAATATCTCTTGGATTTAGTCGATGAACAGTACCACTTAAAAGAAATTTCAACATTTGTAATTAAAGTTAGACGGTATTGAGAATTGTCAAGTATATGCTAGGTATATATACTTACCGTAAACAGGCAGAGACAACCTAAAATTCTAAATAAACTACTTTTGCCACATCCATTAGGTGCAACAATCAAAAAGTGTATGCTTGGTCTCACATAGAAATTCAATTTTTTAATAAACATCCCCTTTAGGGATACTATAGGCACATCAATGAATTCAATAGTTGCTGCATCTTCAATGACTTCTTCACGACCCGATAATACTGCGGCGTTTTCATCAGTTGAAACTGAAGAAACAAGTTGTTTTTCATAACGACCTGCTTTTACAGCATCAAAGGTATCCAAAAGTTCAGGTATCTTTTTAGATAATAAAATGGAGGTAAATATGGTGTTCAAAAAGTAAATGAGATTTTTTTTTTTTTAAAAAAAATAATAATAAAAATAAAATAATAAAATTACTCGGGCAGTGTAGCCAGCCAACTCGGTAATTTCCTTATAAGAATACATTATGCGTCCGAAAGCATCTGAAGAGCTTAACAATAATCTGCGGTTGGTGATAAATCCTAAACAATAATGTTTTAATTGTAATTAAAAATATATCTCTAAATGAGAAGAATTGTTAACAGTATCATACCTTCTGCACGAGAACCAAGATCGCCTTTATTTACTCCCGGCACAGTAAAGAACACAGGAACAGAGCAAAGGATTAAACCCAAAACACCACACAAATATTTAATGATAAAATCCTCCATCATACCGTGGAAAACGCGCACGGAAGATTCTATTAACATGTTTGATCAATGCAAAATAATTGCGATCTAAAATAGCCTTTTCAACTTCATGACCAGAATAAAGCGCAATTTCTTCTGCATTTTCAATTAAGCGTGAATGCGTAAATCTAAATTCACCTTAATTTAGTAATTAAAAATATTAGCGACATGAATATTATTACTAATAAAATAAAATAACAACAATTACCTCGAGCCTCTGTTTTTCAGCGACATCTTTCCAAACGGCGGTGTTAATGCTCGCAGTATTACGGATGATTTATGAACCATCAATGATAATGCAAATAATCCCTCTCCTACTACGTTCTTTGCTAATTGTATATTATAAATGAAAATCCAATATTGGTTTGGCAAGATTGGAACATAATTCGGAAAGAAAGTTGTAAAATTTCATTGTATCAACCGTAACGCACCTTTAATAATCAGAAAAAATCATGAAATAGATTTAAAATGTGTTTTTTTTTTTTTAAAAAAAAAAAAAATGAAATAAAACTTACTGGTTAGCATTTGTTTAAACCATCACTAAATTTCAATGACATATCGGACAAACATTTTTGATGAATATGTTGAGTAACGAGTTCGGAATTGTATAGCCAATTAGCATAGCAGGCTTTCTATTTTATCAACATGTCGATCACTTTGTGGGACCTATAAGTTGTAAATTGTTAGATAGTTATACAATAAAAATAAATAATTATCATAATTATAATAAAGTTCTTACCAACATATCTTGTGATGTAAATTTTGTTCTTACTACTCCACAAACAAACGGATCTTTTACACATTCTCACTTTTTAAAAATCCTATAAACTTTATTAACAGTAGCTTCGCTAACATATAACCCTTTAGCAATTTTCTTCTGTGTAAAACCCTCAACCTGACAGTAAATATACATCTTAGATCTTCACTTAAACTCTTTCCCATTTGATCTTTAGTAAGAGTTAGTATATATTGGATACGCCGATCACCAGATTTCGAGAAAATCGCAATTTATTATTCGTCATTAATTTTGCCGATCATTGCCAAAAAAATTATTTTTTAAAAAAAACGGACTTTATAACTTCGAATTTTTTTTTTTTTGCAAGTAATGAGAACATTGGCTTTCTTTGTATATATTTATTTTTAAAATTTATGTACTTTATAAGCTATATAATATAGTCTTAATGAAGTTTATGAAATATTTAACAATTATTTCGTTCTAAAAATTTTTATTTTTTTTTAAGATTCCAATGACAAAAATGATAATAATATTTAATAATGATACCAGCAACAAAAGAATGAGCAAAAAGTTATTTAAAAATTTTAACCTGACTATAACATTCTAATTTAATTTTTTCCAATTCACTTCGTAATTTCTTCATCAGATGTGTTTTCATCATCATCTGTTATCATCAGTTGTATTTTTTTTAACAAAAAAGTATTTTCCAGTTCTTCTAAGGCAGATAATATAGTATTATTTTAATATCACTATTAAAATATATACCATATCCCATATTATTTAGATGATTGCGAAGGTTTTTTACAATGAAAAAGAAAAAAAAGATTAAAGTTTTGTGCCAAAATTTGCGCCTTTTTACTAATAAAGTATAAATAGAAAATATATTTTTCGAAAGGTTAGGTCTGTGATCATGTAATCATCAAAAAAATCTCAAAATATGATCGGTCGACGTATCGTCTCCTTTTGCTGTGGTGGTCCCATATATTATTTTTGAAGGAATATTTGTTTTACACTAAGACGCGTAAAAAATTTGAGAATTTGTGAAAATTCAACTAATAGGAACACTATTTTGTAAATTTGAAGGAAAAAAGTTTGTCCTATACTTATAAAACTATACTTTAGTAAATAGGAAACATATAGTGTTTATTATATATTTCAAATTCGCGAATTTATATTTCTGTCACATGATTGAAGTTGAAAACAGCGATAAAATTTTATCTTCATTTAAATGATTTTTATTGTTATTTTTGTGAATTATAATCTCAAAATAAAAAAAAATTGTATGAAAAATTATATATATGTTAACGTTAAACGTTAAATGATCTTTATTTATTATTTTTATTGATTATTGAAAAGCGGTTTTGTATTATTGAATCTAAATCAATGTTACACATGATCCTGAAATCCGATTGGGCCTTATACGCGCCGTGACTTTTTGGGGTAGTTTAAAATTACCATAGTGAGTTTCATATGTATATTTCTCCGTAATTTATCATTTTTTTTCGCCAGACTCCTAAACATTTTTTGTCATGTCTAATGAAATACGAGAAATATACGTTGGTCACAACGAGCTTGTATCATATCTAAGGGACCATCGAAACAAGTCAAAGTCATTTCATAGGTTCTTATTTTTTTATAGAGAAAGAATCGTTGAATCGTCACTTTTTTTCTCAGCAACTTCCTGGCAAGAATATGATAATGCTTGGCCTGCTCGTTTTCTGAAAGTAGCAAAAGAGATAAAACAAATCAATTTTGGTACTTTGAAAGATAAGGTGCGTTAAGCAAAAAAGAGATAAAACAGTCAATTTTAGGTACTTTGAAGATAAGGTGCGTTTTTTATTTTGCAAAGAAAAGACAACTCCCAGTCGAACCGCGGCTTGCATTGGGAGAATTACTGTGCTTATGATCGCTGGTAACCAACCCAGTCTTTGTAGTTCAGGCGTCTTATCTTTGTCGCTGGTAAAGGTCTGCTAATTTCAGAGAAGAAATTGGCTATGTACCTTCCTTTATCACTAAATAAAAAAACCATCGCACTATTAACACTACCTTTTCTCATCAGATTCGATTAGAACGTGATGGAGAAAACTTGAAGGATTACTGGAAAGAAGTCATTCTGGAATGTAAGACGGTAAGTAGGATCCCGCAATTCTATTCCTGAACCCAGAAAAAACAATTTGGTCTTTCAGTGAATTAATTCATATTATATACAGAGGCGGGCTGTAATAAATTATCAATCTGAGAAGGAGCGCTACCTTCGAATTATTTCTGATCTTGATGAAAAGATACAAATGGAAAGGGCTAATCTTGCTGAGCTCACCAGCAAATGGTATAAAAGAAAAGATGTGGATAAAGAGCCTGATCTCAGAATAAACCCTAACGAGGGAGATTTTGAAGATTTTGGAACAGATTTTGATCATAGTGAAGGGAATAATAATGAATCTTCAGCCGGTTCAACCTCCTATAGTTCTCGAAAAAGAAGAGATATGGATGAAGAGCCTGATTTTAGGATAAACCCTATTGAGGGGAATTTTGAAGATTTTGGAGATGGTTTTGATTTGGGTGGTATTTATAATGAAAGAGATAACGATTCTTCAGCCAATTCAATTTCTCGACAAAGGAGTGTTAGGAGTGTAACACCTTCGCCTCCAACACATAATTATAATCTTCGTGTTGGAGAACCTATCAATTATAATGTTGGGTCTTCATCAAAAAGGCGGCGTCATAGGACTAACCCTGTAAGTATAATTCACAGTCATGTATTTTTTCTTGAACCCGGGTTTTAACTTACCTATGTTTATAGTCTATACGAAGGGTAACATCTCCACGAATAACTCCTTCACAAAGATCTTCAACTCCACCATCACCTCTACGAATACCTCCTTTACCTTCATCACCACTATCATCCCCATTTATATCAGATTTTTTTGGTGAAGAGCAACCCAAGAAAAGGATTTGTTTAAGCTGTCCTATTCACTGTTTTGAACAAGAAAGTGTTTAGAACCTCTTTAAGACCCAATCCGCATATGATCGGCAGTGAATTACAAAACTTTACTATAGGATGGCGTCAGATTTGACAGGTGCGTATATATACGTATATTGGAATTTCAATATTATTATTTATTATTTTTGACAAATAAAAACAATTATAACTTTATTTTTATGCATTTTTATGCGCTTATAATTAATATCATGCCGTTCTAGCATTTTCTCTTGCTTCTAATTCACGTATTGTCATAACTTCTTTCCATTTCCGTGAGAAACCAGTAATCCAATTCTGAATGGTAGAAGTTTTGGGTATGTCATTTTCGTCAAGTTCTCCGAGTTGAACACGACGCACAAGCTCTTCATGCATTTGTTCAGCTGAAAATTTGTTATTTGGATTTGCAGTTCCGGTATGAAACATATTTTCCAATAAATGTTTCACATCTTTTGATATTCGTTTCCATGGTTCTCGTTTGTAATTCTTGTTTGATTTTAGAGCCCATCCAGACACAAATACGTCATGACTATTATTACCAAATCAATGATTAGTATAACGAATTTATAATATTACAATAAAATATTTATTACCTTTGTATCGCATCTGTAATATTCATACTATTCACATTTGAACTCAAAAGGTTTAGATCCTGTATATTGATTAGTTTTATTTTTCTATATAAAACCTTTTTTTCGTATCAAATTATTCATACCAATTCCACCAATTCATGGTTATTAGTAGCAGAGTCTTCTAGATTACAAAAACATTATTAGCATTTATGGGAAGTGTTGAGATAAAAATCGCAAAAAAGTTGTACCTTCACTGGTAACAATAGGTAGCGTTCACTTTTTAGAGGATTCTGTATGAGTAAAAAATTCTGGGTTGGGTTTTCTATTTTTTTTCTGTTTTTGAATCTTTTCTATTTGAGCTGGAGACTACCTCTTCCATTCTCCAATTTCGGGTAGTACACAAATCCTACGTCCTCACCTTGATCTGGTCATGTCCATTCATGTAGACTTTTAATTCTGGCTATTGTTCCAATTTTTTCTTTCTCTACATAATAATATTATCATTGATGATCAAAATATTACTTGATTTCCAAATAATGAAATTGAAATACCTTTATCACGATTTGGCAGTAAGTTAGCAACTTTTGTTCCTGCAATATCATGGATTGCTGTTTCTATATCATTACAGCATAGCGGGCTTTCTTAATTATCACAAAAATGTTGATCATTTTGCCGATCATTTTTTATTATATCACATAATAAAAAAATCGGTTTGTCACGATAAATTTAATAAGTCTTCGTATTAATATTCTCACTAATTTTGCATTTAATCGAAGCTTGAATTTATTAAAACTGAATTACCATTAGCCAGCTTTTAAAAGCAATAGCAATTTGACTAATAATTAATAAATTAAAACAGTACAGTATGTATATCAGGGTTAAAAATAGGGTTTTAGATTTATCGGAAATTTTGCCAATGAGTTTTCAATTTATCGGTTTTTTTGAAAAATTATCGGAAAAATTTCCGATCATATATAAATTTTTCGGTTATTAAAAAAAATAAAAAAAATTGATTTTGTATTTAACCAAACATTATCGTTATATTAATTTATTTAATTCTTCTTTTACAACTTTGATACCAAATTTGTAATGCGCTATCAAAATTAAAATCTATTAAATTTACATCATACAACCCAATTGTCATTCATTATTAAGCTGATTACGAATATCAGTCTTAATTAAATTTTGTTTAGAAAACCCCCTTTCACAATCTACACTAGAAAATGGTATAGAATAAAATATATTAATTAAAACAAGAATATTAGGATATATATCAGAATGATATTGAAATAATAGTGAAAGGAAATTATCAGTAGAAAGTTTTTCATAATTTGCTAGAACTATAGCTTTAAAATTATCCCATTTATCACGGCATCAATAATTGGCATTGGGTAATTAAGCTCTTTAGCTATTCCATAAATATTAATTAACTTTTCTAATTCTTCTTCATCATAATCAACTAAACTTTCTTTATCCTTATTTTCATGACAGATAAAATTGATCTATATGAAAATCTGTCATTAATTTCACAAATGACAGCTGCTGCAAATTCCATAATTTCTAGTTGTAAATTAATTTTATCCTCAGATTTAAATAAAATATGGTGATCTCCAATAAAAGAATCTTCTGCTGGTGGTATTTTTAATAAAAAATCATTTAGATGTGCACTTAACTTTGGATTTCCATAATCATCAACATCTAAATATTCATGTTGTATTTTTGAATCGTAGAATTAATTATAGGATCAATATCAGAAAACATAATATATCTTCGTTGAAACATCTTATTAAGTTCCATTAAATGACCTAAGATATTATATAAAAAGTGTAAAAAAGACAAAACTTTCCAATTACAGATTTTAGAATATAAATCAAATATTGATTGTTGTTTTTAAAAAGAAGTTGTTGTTGCTATTTCAAAAAATGTATTCAGTAATAGTTGGATAGATATACATATACTTTTAACTACTTCATACTAAGATAACCATCTAATCTCAAAGATATTCTTTATTTTTAAAATTGGGTGATCTAATACTGACTGAAATTGCCTTAAAGTATTAACTCTTTTTACAGCATTACTAAAGAAATTATATGTTTCTTTAATTAAGGTTTTGATATATTTACAAAAAGACACTTTCTTTTGAGTTGAATTACAAACTAACGCTAATCTATGTACAATGCAATGACTTATAAATAAATAAGAATTTTTATTTGTAAGTTTGTTGCTATACCATTATTTTTACCAAGTATTACACTAGCTCCATTTGATGAAAAAAACATAATTTTTTTTTCTAATCCTAAATTAATAAAGTAATAAATTAAATTAATTTAATTAATAAAAATTAAAATTTTAATAAATTAATGATAAATTAATTCAAATAAAGTAAATATAGCTAAAAAAAAAAAATAGTTTTAGCATCTTTACTATTTAAATGTAATAGTTTTACATATTTGACTTTAATAAAACCTCTTAAACAATATTTAATATAAAAAATTATATGTGATTCTATACTAATATCTGTACTTTCATCTATCATAATACTAATACTTATAGTTTCATAAAGTTCATTTCACAGTTCTTTTTCAATTAATAAAGATATTGTTGATAATAAATCCTTTGCAGATATAAGATTTTTGTATATTATAGAATTTGAGTTAAAAATTAAGTTAAGACTTTCAAGTGCATGTCTAAGTTATACTAATTGAGAAAATTGATAGAGTGAAAGATTATTTTTCGCTATAAAATAAATAATTTTCATTAAGTTTTCTATATACTTATTTGCGTGATTTACTGTATTTGAAGTAGCTTTAACTATTAAAAGTCTAGCCTTTTTTTTTTTAAAGTTTCTTTATGTTCATTACTATTAACATAATTTTGAATTACTGATTTTTTACTAATATTTTTTGAATTTAAATTCAAATTAATCAAATTATAAATTATTAAATTATTTTAAAATCATTAAAAATTAATTTGTTAATAATAATAAATAACTAACCTTCTTTAATGAAAGGAATATTAATATTATGAAATCTATATAATTCACAGTACATTTTTTTTCTTCAGAATTATATTTAACCATAAAAATTCTTTGAGCCATTTTTTTTGAAATCCCTTTTTATTAATTTTTACTTTTGTTTTTTTTAATATATGAAGATTTTTTTTCTGAGAAAGTAGAACTTCATTTACTTCTTCTGTAGAAGATAAATCTTCTTCACTTTCAGATAAAGATTTATCTTCAGTTAATTTATCTTTATTATCATTATTTTATTAGTATTGACATTAATTGTTTTATAGTAACGAAGAATATTAGATATTTTTTACATTTCAAGGTAAAAAATAAAAAAATTCATATTCAGAATATAAATTCAGATTATCTGCATATTACAATTTACAAATAAATCATGATTTTTAAAATAATTTACTTAAAATTATTATTGGCAAAAAAACTGATTAATCTCAATTTTTGGTTGCTTTTAAAATTTATCAGTTTTTTCTGATTTTTACAGTTATATTTTTAACTCTGATGTATATGCCAATAAAAAATTTAATATAAAAATTCCATAAAAATATAAAGTTTTATAATGTATAATTTTATAGAATTTCAGTATAATGTATACGTTTTTTCCTTAAATAAAAACTATAAACTTAATACGGAAAAGTGGTAAAAAACATATACAAAAAATAAGGAAAAAATGTAATGCTTTAACAGATGCAAAAATTATGAAAAAAATGTATATTTTATAATGCTTTAACAGATACAAAAAACTATAAACTTAATACAGAAAAGTGGGAAAAAACATATACAAAAAATAAGAAAAAAACGTATATTTTATAATATTTTTAATGAATGCAAAATCATGGATAAAACATATATTTTATATGCTTTAATTAAGCAATTTAGATTTTATTAATATAATAAAAATTTAAAAATTAA